GGGCGGGGCGGCGGGTCCCCCGCTGTCACTTCTGCCTCAGAGGTAAGCGTGCCTTCCCTCGGGCCGCCGAGCGCTGGGGACCCAGCCCCAACCCCTGGGCGAAATCGAAGGCTAGCCCTTTGTGAAGAGACCTAAAACACAGCACCTCCCCTTCCCGCTTTGGAGCGGGCACGGCAACTCCTTTTAATGCCGCTCTTTCTTCACATGTAGACCTCATGGCTCAGGGCCCCTTATTCAGCTGATGAAAAAAAGAGCTTTTTCATGACTAAAAAAAGCAAGCTGTATGCTGAACCACTCGTTACAGCCGCTGGTGGAAGGACCGTGGAGGTTTCTGCAGTTTTAAGGGTCTGTTTTCTGATGCACACTGTTAACTCTGCAAGTTACAGTGGTAATACATGGACTTGCTGAGCAAGACAGCTCAGTGGTCGAGTACTTGACAAACAGGGAGATTTCAAGGAAAACTATTTCTGCTGTCAGCTGGCAGGTAGGCACATACGTAGTGTGTGAACTCCAGGTTATCTTCAGGAAGTTTTTGTTGACCCGCAGCCAAAAAAAAGTTCTGCTTTCTAGAGAAATGTAGTTGTTCTGAGACATTGTTTTGTAACTACCATTATAAACTCCAACTGCTATATTGCAGTTTTATATCTCACTGTCTTACTTGAGGTATAACAGAAGCCATCGCTCTTATGTTTTCCAGTGGCATGTGATAAAAGAGATCTTGTTGGGCCCTTGAAATACTACAGCAAGCCAAGACAAAAAATACGTGAGTCAGGTTTTATAAGCACTTACTGTGATGGACTGCCCAAAGTATAAATTTCTCCTTTCCTGAGGCTGTGGCCTTGCATGTTTTTCATTTTGAGGTATAAAGCAAGTCAGTGTGCTCTGCTGCTAAAAGTATCACAGGAGTCTCTCAGAAGCCACTGAATTCCAGACAGAATTACTTTGTGCTGCTGTATCTTTGTTAGAAATATGGGGCTACTGCTGCTTTGTAGCCATGCTGCCAGAATATCGGTCTGTGAAGTTTCAGCACTTGGTATCAACAGGTATAGCTGGGCTGACCCTCAAGGGAACGGCTGCATCTGCTAAGCCAGAAATGAGTTTCAGCAGCATTTTTAAACGTTCAGTTTTGCACTACGGAGGTGCTGCCAGCAGTCCCGCGGCAAGGACCCGCAGCTCCCGGTGCCTCTG